AAAGACACCTTTACAGAAAATACTATACTTTGAGCTGCTAACTTGCAGCAAATAATGAATATAAGAACTAGATATGATTAATGATATTAAAGTATACTTGAATGTGTATAATGTACTTTATTTAAATATGTCATTGAAACAAACAAAATTAAGAACACTTCTGTTACAATGAATCTTAAAAAATGAAAGTTTTTGTCAAAGGAATGCTGTATTTTCAGTCAAGTTCACAGCTAAACAGCTAAGTAGCTGCTGACATTATTATTTGCACAAAATACTGCATTGAATAATGTTTTGAGTTTTTAAATGGACAAGTTATTTACATATAACACTTAAAAACACTTTAAAACTTAAAAACTAATTGTTATAAATATCTTCTTTAAACAACATGCCGTCAGGTGGAATCAAACTCACTAAATGCCCTCCTTTCTCCCCCCACGCAGACTATTGTGCCAAGAACATATAAACGCTAATATTTTATCTGATGAACGCAAAATATCAAGATTTGTTTAGAAAATCGGAAAAATGACAAAATAACAGCAAAGAATTATGTAGCCTTGTGGTTGGGTTAAATGTCTTAAACTGAAGTCATTGTAACTCACAAGGTTATGAATCACTCTGATAAATGATAATTATTTATTTTGACTCTTTGAAGAAGCTTTCTTTCCTCTGTAGAAAACGTATGATGAACAAAAACATTAACGCCCGAACAGGGACTTGAACCCTGGACCCTCAGATTAAAAGTCTGATGCTCTACCGACTGAGCTATCCGGGCTCTGATAAGACCCCCGGCGGAGGGTCGATTTACGGAAGCTGATGTCCGTGACGTAGAACATCCGGTGTTATCAGATGTTCATGACCACATTTACATGTTGAACTTATCGCCTCTGCTCACAGACACCAGTTCGTCAGTTCTGTCTGTCTTCATCCTGCTGCAACCTGCTATGTGTTGTTCAGCGCAAAGACAACTTCCGCTTGTCTTCTTCAAAATAAAACAGATGAAAACGGTTGCCTGGACTGAGGAGAACCAGGACCAGACTGTTGCTTTGCAGCAAGAAGAAGGCCCTAAGTTCGACTCCTGGCCGGGGGTCTTTCTGCATGGAGTGTGCATGTTCTCCCTGTGCATTCAGTGGTTCTCTCCGGGTACTCCGGCTTCCTCCCACAGCCCAAAAGCATGACTGTGAGGTTAACTGGTCTCTCTAAATTACCTTTACGTGTGAATGGTTGTTTGTCTTGTGCGTCACCTCCTCAGGGCGTACTCCGCCTCCCGCACGTAGACCGCTGGAGATAGGCACCAGCTCCTCCGCGATCCAGTATGGAAGAAGCGGGTATAGAAAATGGGTGGATGGGTGAAATCCGGGATGTTGATACAGGGCTTCAGCTTGTTCTTTTGTTTTTTGTTTGCTGATAGTGGACAGAGCGCTTGATGACAATGACAACGAGGAAGCGTGGATCACAGAAATAGGTCTGAGGCTCATTTTGAAGGTCAGGGGTCATAGTAACATGATGGCTAAGGCGTAAAATGACCCAAAGCGTTCCTACAGTTTGCGAGCTTTTATTATGAAAGCAAACAGTCTGAACCGGAAGTTTGGCGTGTTTACATTGCGGACTTTCGGCTCTCTGTCTGGTCTGAAAATATGGAGGAAGTCAATATTTCAACACCACAGCGAAACAAGAGCGATGAAGTCTGCCGACGAACAGAGGTCAGAAAATTAAAGCATAAATAAAAGTTCGTTTTACCGTTTAAACCGGCTCCTCAGCTAGCTCTTCATGCTAATAGCCATATTTTATCAGTGAAGAAATTCGAACTTCAGAACCAAACAGGCATGAAACCCATCTAATCCCCATAGAGACACAGAGCGGTTCTTTTGCGGTTAAGTTCTGCAGTGTTCCGGTGTGCAACAGGTGGCTCCGTGGCGCAATGGATAGCGCATTGGACTTCTAGTGAAGCACTTGAGAAGTGATTCAAAGGTTGTGGGTTCGAGTCCCACCGGAGTCGCAGTTTTACTCCAAATATTTTTATTAACGCATCATTTAAAGTCGAGTTATAGACTAAATGTCTGTCCACCAGCGACGATCTACTGAAAACAACACATAAAGACAAACGTGGTGGATCAACTTATTTCTAGCAGCTGAATATTGAGACGTGTTAGTTCTATCAGCCACTAGATGGAGACAGAGCGCAGGGTTATAATCCTCTGACATGCAGTCAGTCCCAGCATAAAGAGAGGAAGAAGCTGCGAGGCACGTTCAAACAGGGACTGTGAGTTGAAGCAGCTGGAAGTTTCAGTTCCATCTGATCATGGCGGTGCTGACAACATCTGTGGCCTTTCTGCTGCACCTGGTTTCATCTGCAGCGGTAAGACACCTGCGAACCCTGAACCTGTCTACCTGAGCTTGACGTTCAGTGGATGTGTTATCAGAGAGGGCTTTCTGAAGGTAGTCTGAGTGTTTCAGACACAGACGATCTCATTAACAGACGTCGCTTCACTGGTTTGTTTAAAACTGTGACGTTTTTGTCTCTAGATGGAAAACAGTCGCTGTGTGCTTCTATCTGTGCTTTTTAAACGCTACTCAGCCTCACAAAGAGCCAGATTATAAAATGAAGTCATTTAAAGAAAAAAGATCAAATGTCATTAATTTTGACTTTCTCGCATATTAAAAAGGCCTCCTTGAAACATGATGTTAAATGCAGGGATTTACTTGGAAACCATGAAAATTAAACTTGATCCATCCAGGAATGTCAAAAACATCAGATAAATACTGTAGTATGTGTGTCAGGAGCTGGGAATAAAACTTAATGATTGAAAAAACATTTATGACAACAACCCGTGTCCCGTTTTGCTGAAGAGGTTTTGGTTTGATTTTCCTCATTTATTATGATGTAGGAATAAAAATGTGAATTATTTTAATTTCAGATTTAAATTATTGTTGTAAATCCCAACACTGGAAGATTTTTAGCAGACAGAAATAAATTCTTAAGACATAATTTACTTATATTTTCACACTAAAGGATTCCTACAAACCTCCTCAGTCCGTATTCCCCAACAGAACCACAGCTGTGGACGGGTTGGAAAATCCTTCTGCACTCTTGGGAACGCTAAATTATTCCAGGATGTGATGAATTCACTGTTAAAACATGTTATAAATTCAGTGATTATTATCCTGCTAAATGACTTGATGAACTTGATGGTTTGTTAACCTGTCGACCGTGGCAAATAATTCACCAGCATTGTTAATGTTTTTGCTGATGATCTCAGAAAAGAAAGATTCCCTTGCATTTTTCAGTTGTAGGTTATATCTGTATAGTCTCTCTTTATAGATAATATAGTGAACCTGGAGTCCAGTCTT